CTGAATGCAAATTTTCACACAGTTGTGTAAAAACAAATTAAACTGTCATTTGATGAAAAACAGAAGAAAGTCCTTACATCTGGACTGCAAGAACTTGTTAATGTTTGGCATATTGCTTTAAAAGATAATTCTAGTTTATTTCAACCTTCAATATCCCGATTAAAAAATGGCAAACGTGGCTACATTGGTCACCCAAACTTTATAGTTTCTCCCTCCATTGTAGGCGTAAATGTGTGGCAGAAAATAGTATGTTGATGCGGCTACCATGATCAATAGAGCCTTGACCACCACATGGATAGGAAACATGGAGGGTTTATATGAAAAGGGATTATAATGTATAACAACATTCTCAGGTGATTATCAAACTAACTGGAGATTCAATTTCCGTCTAAACAAATAGTTTCAGCTATTCTCAACACATTCCCAAAGTCCCAGAATGCCGCGACACACTTAAAAACCTGAAAATCTCATGGGGCCTACCCGACCTTCATTCTAATTAAAATACACGAGAAAGTGATGCATTTCCATTTTATTCAAAATACATGAACAGCACGGGCTGTTGGCTATAAACTGCTAATGCTTTCCAGTCACATACAAGGCTGATGGGACACAAACTTCAGTACAAGAGCAGTAAATTCACAAACTAACCACCTCCTATTAATTAACTCCAGTTTTAACTTTTTATATAAATAAATAAAAGTTTATAAATATTATGTAATTATACTCGTAATTTCAAACTGAATTTATGTCATCGCTGTGACCCACCTGCAGTACCTTCACTAAAGCAGAGATTCCCTGGTCCATATTTTGGGAATCTCTACATTAGTGGATAGTAACAATGCTCCCGTAAGGTTTTTTTTCTAGAATGATCAACAGGTTAATTCACTACACAAATTTTAAAATAATCCATTATGGTTTTCCTTCTTTTCTATGTATACTTTTAATGATGGCTACTCTCGTTAGACGTTCATACTTCCACATAATGACGCGAATGTAATGTATGCAAGTAATCCTTTAGTCCTCGCTTTTGAATTTTAGTACTTTTCAACTCTCAGGTCTGTGAAGTGACACAAGTGGGGATTAATTTTTTTAATTAGGCCTTTATTTATCCAGGCAAAAATCTAATTGAGATTAAAAATCTCATTTCCAAGAGAGACCTGGCATCTAGACCATGTGATGGATACAATTAACATGGCTATCTCAGGCACCCAACTCGTGCTGTTCTAAACCTTCTGTTTGCAAGTGGCAGCCAATCAGGAGAAAGCTACAGTATCTTAAAGGGAGAGAAGAAGAACTTCTTGAATCAGACAGAGGATGAACTGAAAGGCCAAATATGATATAAATACATCTCATTAAAATCTTTTCTTTATTAAATATGGATTACTTTGATAGATACCAAAAATAAGTATGAAGAGGATCCTATCTGTGATTCACACTGACCTCAAGGCTGAACTCGTTGCTGGTGTAGCGTCCGTTGAGCTCTGAACAGGTGAGGCGAAAACGCCTCTCTGTTAGCTGCCCGGGATGCCAGTTGTAGTAGCGCACCTCTCGGATCACCTGCTCATAGTTGGACATGGAGTCCACGCCTGTGGAAGGAGAGAGAGACAGCACAGGTTTGTCCAGCTAGTATATGTAGTAGTGGTAGATGGGAGCCAGCTAAAAAGGCACCAGTAACCTACCGTATATGGACATGCCAGAGGTGGAGTTGGTTGCATCAAGGTGTTTTCCAAGCAGAGCGCTTCGTTGCAGTTGGAGAGATTCGTGCTCTGGGCTCAGCTCCTCCCCCAGCACCAGGACATCACAGTAGTCTAAGTTATGAATGATCTCCTCCATCACTCCAGGTCGATGTGCTACACACATAGACACACACACGCACATGCAATTTGCTATAATTTGCCCCCTCTGATGCTCATCCCAGAGGGCAAGAAGATCAGCATCAGTTTGCTTTCAGCTCACTCCATCCTGTGTTTTACCAGCCGAAGATAGCGTTGGCATTATAACTTAGTGTTTGAGGTCAATTTCTATTTTTAGTTCCGAATATGCTGTTACTGCTAATGAGCTCCACTGCAGCTCTTTTTCATTCCTGCTTCTCAGCTGGTTACTTTAGCTCAGCTTCCTTTGTTCTTCTCACCGAATGATCCAAACTAATAATCAAATACGCGGTGCCAAACACGGCCAGCGTGAATGAATGTACCGTTAATTGTCACATTTCAGCAGTCTAATTGCCGCTGCCATGCCAAAAATTGTGTGTGGAAGAAAACGGTGCACGCTTTGAAGAACCATAATTCGAACAGCACAGGACACAACACCTACTCCTACTCCCACTTCCAGGCTCCAATTACCCATGAACTCTCTGAACACAGTCAGCGCTGTGAGCTGCTGTGGTACCATGTTCCTGCAGACAGCTCCCATCACAGCATTTCTGGGTGGCTGCTGGGGCTCTTTGACAGTCTGCTAAGCACTAGCCTCCACCTCTCAGCTGCTACCCAGCTTTCTCCCTCGCTGTAGATTCCCAAGGGAGGGAACCAGCTATGCCCCTTTTAACAGCTCCCCAGTTGAGAAGGACAGACACTGTATGTTGTGTGTCTGTGTTTGTGGGGAGACTGATGCAGCAGAGAAAAGGTAGGAAAGTGAGCAAAACAGGGAAAAAAATTTGGGTCCTAGAAGTAAAGATATGTATGCTTTTTGTGTATGAATTACATTTTTTTTCCCTCAAAGTGCTCTGTAGTTCATGATAGAAGTATTTAACCCTATTTTAGCCTATTGTTTCAGGTCGAGATCTCCTCTTATGGGAAACTGTAGCTCCTCAGACTGCATTCATTAAATACCCACTTGTAGCTGAATCCAAAGGTGGGTCCATCCAAGAGCCTGCCCCTGAAATAAAATGCTGATTACCTTTTGTTGCATCTTATTTTAAATCCCAATGAATTATTGATGCAGTTTACTAACTGAGTTAACAGGCTGGCACCAGGTTTCACTAAAAACTAAGTGATAATGCCAAACTGAAAATTATTATAGAGTGTATAGAGCGCTTTGAGTACTCTGGGAGAGTAGAAAAGCGCTATATAAGAATTTATAAAGGGATTTATACCATGAAGAATGACTTCCCAAACAAACCCATCATGTCAAGGTGGATATGTCTGGCTTTTATATGCATTCTGTGGTTACTGAATTGACTGGAAATTAGAGAGTAATATATGAGTACACACACTCATTTTGAACAGTCAATTCTGACCTTAGAGCTAGTTTGGGCTGAGATGAAAAACAAGAGCAGAAGGTAGAGGGAATTCAAAAAAGAGAAAGAAGATAAAGAGTGCTGAATGAGTAAAGAAATTAAAACTAAACTGTGGATCGAAGCAGAAAAGAAGAGAAAAAACGATGACCGTTAAAGCAAATGGGTCAAAAACAAGTTAAAGAAAGAAGTGATGACCTTGCCTTTAAATAAAAGAATCAGAATAAGCCCGGAAAAGATACGGAAATATGAGAGAGAGAAACGAGGCAGTGCTGAGCAGGCTTAATAAAAAGACAAATGAATGACAGAAAGACAAAGCAAGGAAGAGGGCGAGGGGGTGATTAGCAGGGTCCAAAAGAAACCTATTGCATGCCCCGAAAAAGAAATATGTGATTTATCTTGAATCCTTTAAGCCTTGAGAGAATACAAAATCTGCTCATTATAGAACTTCATCGTGACGCCCTCTCCCTCACATCTTCCCATCTATCCTCCTTTTTTCCCTCTTCCATGTCTTTCTGTGGCTTCCAGCTAATCTCTTCGCCCCCAGCCAGAATATCTCCTTCACCAGCAGAAAGAGCTCCAAAAACTCCTGAAAGGGACACCGCTTTCTATTCGTCTTCCTGTGCCGAATTACATTCAATGGTGGGCTAAAACCTTCCTCTCGCTCTGCTTATCTGCTCCTAATTGGCTGCCAACGGCGGGGCCTGGGGCCGAGCCAGTCGGTTCCTGCCTTGGTGGCAAGATCGTTGGATGAGACCAAAGCCTTCGGGATTTAAATGTCATACTCATTTGCGGTCGGGCAAGGCAGCGTAACCTAGCGAATCAGTCCTCTGGTAGGTATAGGGCTTACTCAGCAGGAGGGTGTTTGCATAGGCTAAGATAGTAAAGGGTATACCTACAAACCTGTGTGCACAGGGAAGGACTGTGCGGGCATTTGACTCAACATATTGGCAAGGTGATTTGAAAAGGCTGTCACTAAGACCCTTAGTGGGAAAAGGCTTTGAGGGAGTGTTACGGTCTAGCAAGAAGTGTTACAATGTTAAATTTGATTTGTTTTTGGTACGGTCCTTTTTCTTTTTTCTCTCGTTTGTTTCTAAAATGTCTAAAAAGTATTTCTAATCATAATCTACTGCAAAACATGAAAAATGAATTTTTAGATGCAGTTTAGCAGTGTTTGTTGGAGGATCCATGCAGTCCTAATGGTCGTCAAAAACGTCTTCAGCTTTACCAAACTAAACTGCTGTCTGTTAAGCTAGGAATCTGAAAAAATTTAAGGAATTTAAGGACCATTTTTAACTTCATTTCGTATTTAGCGGTGAGTCAAACAAAATTCAGTCTGGGATGCTGGTGATCATGAAGTTACGTACGAGTGATGTACGATGAACGTGACGCGTGAAACACAAACGGAGAACGTAACATCGCATTCACAGAACGATGATGAAATGAAACAAGATATATACAAAAATCAAAAGAACTGGGATTTAGAATAAATCCTTTAAAAAAAAGAAATAGCTGTTATTAGTCACTAAGTTTCATTAAAGCTGGCCCACCTGTTAAGTAGGAGGCAGGGTACATGTAGATAAGCTGTGTCCCAATTCCTAGGCCGCATCCTTTGGAGGCCGCATTTAAAGGCTGATTATGTCACAGCCAGGCAATGAAGGCTGCCCCAATTCAAAGGCTTCTCCGACAAATGTGTCCTTCATTTTCCTGAATTTGAAGGACAGGTCAGGTGTATCCTTCGTGGCCCAACCTATCCCAGAATTCATAGCGTGGCCCAGCCAATTCCAGTTCCCAACAATGGCGGCAGTTACTTAGTTTTGATCTTAACCATATTATTCTTACTGGGTCACAAAATAAACTTTTAAGATATTTTCAGGCGAGAATGCAGCTGTGTAAACTTCAAATATCTGCTCGATTAATCAAGACATCACATATTTGCGAAAGCACTCCGACGTTTTCGGAGACGTCTGTTACCCAGCAGCTCGATAGCTAGCCGGGGGTTCAAGGCTCACTAGAGCCGGCGAGAACAGCGAACTCCCGGCACATCGTTTTCAAACTCCTTGCGGTCTTTCGCTACTCAGGTTAAACATGATGTATAAGTCACCTGGATAACTTAAAATGTTATTGTTTGGCTTTTTTCAGTGTTTTATTTGTTCCTCAATAAATTGGTTTGGCTGAGATTAAAGTTATAGTTTTCACACAGCTGAATGAACATCAAGGAGAAAACTGATTAAACAGAAGTGTGAGATGGCAGAGAATTTACTCCAGTGTGCTGTTATAGTTTAGGGAGCAAGGAGCAGACGGCTGAGTTTATTAAAGTCCACCGAGACAGCTGGTGATGCAAATTTGAAGGCTAGACCGTCGCATTAAACAGCCTTGCACTTCCGGCCTTCTCGGTTTTCAAAGGACCGGGCCAAATAAATCACGAAGGCTGTGGTCTACTTAAAAAATCTGTTTTTTAAATTGATTTACACTTCTACTATTTTACTATGTTTTATTATCTCTGAGTCAGCGTAGAAACAGACAAGTAAAGGGCTTGTAAGTGACTCAGAGCTACACTGCCACAAGCTTGACGTCATCGTTTTACAAAGGAACAAACCAGCAAAGAATCATTCATTGCTACTGCAGTGGATTGGTCAATTTGGTACCAGTTCTAAACTGCCAGCTTGGGTGAGGGAGGTGTTGTTGAAGGTCTTTCATTGTAGATCAGGGATCTGCACACCAGTGCCCAGTTTTGATTGATTCATTTGGGACTTTGTTTTGGGACCTTCACACCTTCCAGTGTGCATACATGAAAAATTGGAGTAGTAGCAAACCCCAGCACAGAACATACCAGGTGCAGTTGACAACAGGTATGACTGAAACTCCATGAAAATTGGCGATGGGTTGCTAAGTGGCTTGCAGATGTGTGCTAAGTGCAGGCGAGCTTCTTAAATTTAAAAAGTATCTGGTGTGGCCTTGCGCTGACACCATCTGGTGTGATTGACTTGGTAGACTAATATTGTGTTTGATTAAAATGAGATAATGAAATTATATTTTCTGCTTGAATATTTATTTGCAGGACTTCCAAAAGAGTTAACAGTTTGCGAATAAACAGCGGGAATACTACTTCAACCTCTGCTACAGTCACATAATGCACATGTAGGTTTATATAAACCTTTATTCACATTTTTTGGCGATGTTGTCAGTCGTATGGAGTTAAAGCAGCAGTTTTATTGAAGTTTTATTGCATCCTGTACACGTTAGAGAACTTGCCAGTGTGGGAGCAAAAGCCCATCTTTTGTTTCCTCGAGTTTGTATTGTGCACAGATGTACTAGATGAAAGAAGAACTCTTTGCTGCTTGTTCAAAATCTCACGAGGCATCGTGAAATGTTTCAGCTTTCTCTGAAGGTTTGTTTTGCAAGACAGTTGGCGCTGAATAGGCTATGGAACTTCATGAATGAGTGAACATATTATGAATATGAAAAAAAAAAGCTAAAATATTTAGCTGAGACAGATTTCTACCTGTGGGAAGGAAGTGCATATCCCACTTTGTGAAGTGTACGCAAAGTTGCACTTTCTGGGGTGTAAACTTATTGTTGAGAACATTATTTAAAATGATCAGAAAGTGACATGTAGCTTTAAAAAAAATGCTAATATGAGCCCACACATGCAAGAAAACAATCAGGATACTAAATTAGAGTTTTCCTTTCCTCTTCCCCGAGTCTGAAATGATCTAGTCCACCTCCACCTCCTGATTTCAGCCTTACGGGTAACCCCTCACTGGCTCTCCACCCGCTGCTGCCTGTGGTCAATTGTTTTCCACACTTGCCATACTGCCATAAGTGTCTTACCTGTGTGATGTGCAGCGGTGTCTGCCCTGGTGACTGTGCTGATGATGTGGAGGTCCTGGAACAGAACAATCCCTCCTGATGCTCTGAAGTCGGAGGCTGGATGGCTCAGTCTCTCCACTCCGCTGATTGTGATCCTGGGTTCACTGGGCTGAAGCACCATCACCACTGCATCAATATCTGGGATGGTAATACACGTGTCTTCACCAAAACACCTGGACGCAGAGAGGCAGAAGAGTGAGCGAGACTGTGCGAACTCGAGCTGAAATTAGTGTGGTGTTTTACTGCATCGCTCCGTTTAGCTGTAGTGTGAAGATGCTGTTTGGTTACTCAGATTTTGTGGAGAGACCGCTATACGATACAGATCAGATCTTGAAAGTTTTGGACACTCCACACAGCTGATGAAGTCAGAGTGAAGACTCCATGTGGTGAGCATGGCTACAGAGATTTGCAGGTATGGGATAACTGCTGGTGAACTTTTTAAAGCTCTGTTGTAATTTCTGTTTCATGTAACGAGGGAAAGTATCTTGAGGCCTGGCAGAGTACATAAGCATTTATTGGAACATAAGAAAATAGTACAAAAATACACAAATAATGCAGGAAATACGGAGCTATACTCGTGCTATAATAAATGTAAATGTGTGTTCTGCAGCCCACACAAGCCTTTGATCACACTTCTGAATATTTAACACCCGTGACTAAAATTTGCGATTTAAAAAGAGCAATTATCTTCAATCCAATCAATCCATCCACACAATTTAATGTCATTTAATGTAATTCCTCCACAACGACGAGACGTTCTGGTTAAGAAAACAAAAAAACATGTCAAACGTTCAAACAAAATTATCCGTGTTTTCCTGTAAATACAAACTTGATGCTGACCAGACGAGACACCGGACAGTGATGATGATGACGGTGATGATGACTAATGGGTGCTGTCCCGCTCCTTCAGCTTCACACAAGTGTGCAAACACTGAGGGCTCAAACACAAGCTTTCTTTGGGGTCAAAGATAGTCCAGTGACATGTATTTTTGAAGCATCTGCTCAATCTTCTCTCATTTTAGCTAAACGCAGATCATTTTAATCGATTTTCAGAAGTTTCCAGAGCGTCATACATCACGCCAGATGCCCCGATTTGCACAAAGTAACCTAGACCTCATCGTTATGCTAATGAGGAGCAGGTAATACAACTATATCAGAATCCAACGAATGGCTGATTTGACAAATGGTCCATGGAAATGTAGAAATGACAGATCGTGTGGACACATACCATGATAATAATGCTACTGTGACACTGGGGGGTAATTTTTCTGGGGGTAGCGCAGGTCATCTACTAATTAGAAAGTTGGTGGTTCGATTCCTGGCTGCTCCAGTCTACATGCCAAAGGGTCTTTGAGCAAGATACTGAACCTGGAGTTGCTCCTGATGTGTTCATCAGAGTGTGGATGATTGTGAGTGTTAAACAGAAAGATCTGCTTGTATGAATGTGTGGGAATTATTTGTGCTTTAAAGTAGCAGAGCAGAAAAGTGCTGCATAGGAACCACTGACCACAGTCTTCTGTAGATGTTAAAGTTACCTATCAGCAGCGTGTGACTGGATTTTGCCCTTTTTAAATGTTGACACTTGTCCTTATTTCAGTCAAGATGTTTAAATCCTAAGGAGTAGGTCACTGAGAGTAAGCCACATAATCTACCTTTTTTTGCACCAAGGACCGGTTGATGTCCGACAATATTTTCATGGACTGGTCTTTAAGGTGTCGCAGATAAATACAATAAAATAAAACCAGCACCTATACCAAAAAAAAAGAATATTTATTCATAAAACACGGGAAAAGACCCAGGGGAACCGAGCTAACGATAAAAACGATAAAAAATAACGTTAAAAACTGATAAAAAAAACCCTGAGAACCATCAATTTCACACCCGAGCCTCAACTCTGGCCCGGTACCAAACGACTCACAGACCGGTACAGGTCCATGGCCTGCGGGTTGGGGACCGCTGCTCTATAAGGACTATCTATCTGATACACAGCACCAAAGTGTGACAGGAAAGTGCTTAAAACTTATTTTATAAACATTTTGGCCCTCAGACAAACTGGCATACACCTATGCAGCATCACAATGTAAAACTGTGGAATTTTACAGCAGCTAATAAAGCTTATTGACGGCATCAAGCCCTCTCAGCTGTGCTCAAACCACAGCTGTGTGGTTCAAACCCAGACCACAGTGCGTGCAGTTATTAAAGAGGCAAACCGCTCCCATCCTGTCAGTGCTTAGGCAGCAGACACAGACCTGCTGCGTTTCCACTCGTGCATGGCTGCCTGTCTGCGTGTGATAGCATGCCTTTAAATGCCCAGCGTCCACTGGCAACATTCAATGCACAGGCTTGGATTCGAGCTCGATAGCTGAGAGCTCACAATACAGTCACGCAGAGAGAGAGAGAGAGAGGGAGAGAATAACCCAGCACACACACAGATCTGCCATATTCACCCACACATGTCCACACAAATGAGGGCAGGCATCTGACGTGCAGCCCTTCTATTGCATTATTTGATAAACAGAGCGCAGTTTGCAGATCACATGGAACGCATGAGTTGTTAAACTGAGAAAAGGCTAGGACGGGCTGAGGCTGTGTCGAGGCGGAGGACTGAGCATTGCGGGGGAAGGAGAGGTAGTAGAAGCACTGAAAGCTGAGCAAACAAGCCAGATTTTTGTTTTTACATTTCACCGAAGGCCTTTCAAGCACACAAACATCTGTCAGTGGGAGGGACATCATTGCCTTGTCTCCCTGCTGCGGCTGTGTAACGGGCTATGAGAATTCCTAACTTTTTTTTTTCCTAGATTGGAAGTCTGGGTTATACGATTTCACCTGTTATGCAGCCTCTATTTTCTCAGCTACATTCTCATGTAAATGATTCTGCAATGCTTGAATGTACTTGATGAATCTGTATATGTTGGGTCACCTACAGCAAGGTTAGAATTGTTTGTGATTAGTATTAGAAAAGCTGAAAGGAGACGGTAGATTTGCCAAAGAAAAGTGAAAAGTTTTCTTTAAAGTATTTGCTAGAACAATAACACAAGTCAGGTATTAGTGATGTTGTTGATGTTGATGCAGAACATGCCCTTTAAGGGGTTTTACTGTGTGTGCACGACAGGCCCGTCATGTCGACTTGATTAATCAGCCTGGCTTTACAAGTAGCTTTTAATGAACACAAAATGGCTAATTAAATACCGTACTTACATGCTCTCGTAAACATCAGATCAGGGCCAACTGGTTAAACAAATGTATTAAAATAAATAATTATTTACACTCTGAGATGAAGATACATAAATGTAAAGTTGTCATTCTTAAGAAAAATGTAGTAGGTATGAGTATGGTAGTTGTGTAACCATCGTACTGTTGTTTAACACACTCCTTTAAGTTGCTTATTAAGCCGAGCAATTCTATTTTAAGACTTTGCAGAACTGCTAATTAAATTAAGTTATATCATTAACTTATTTCATGAAGAGCCACATTTTATATATATAAATATAAATATATATATGAATAAATATATATTAGGGGTGCAACAATACGTGTATCAATATTGAAACGTTCGATACAGTGCTTTCGGTTCGGTACGCATATGTATCGAACAATACAAAACTTTTAATTTATTTTATCTTTTCTTCTGACGATGCTGTCTGTGTTGAGAGCTCAATGAATCTGCGTTCGACTACTCCGCCTAGGCTGCACTGTCGAGCGCAGATCCACTGAGCGCAGTGTGTTCTTGTGTGTGTGGGGGGGACAAGCTAGCGAGACAGAAGCTAAGCTCGTTGCAACATGGCAACTGCCTCAACGCTACCCGAAATTGAACCTCCCCCACCCTCATTCAGATCTGGCCTTTGGAACTATTTTGGTTTTCATGTGACGTATGACCCTGAAGGTAAGCGCGTCATGGAC